TAACTTGTTAAATGTATATAATTATATTATACGACTCCTAAATTCGTATACAAATGTCGACTATTAAATAATAAAACCTTATAAATATAAATATTCACCTCCCGTATTTGCGAGGATAAACCTATAATAATTATTAAAATATTTTTTGAAACCAACTCATTGATCGGACAAAATAATTACATAACTTGTTAAATGTATATATTTATATTATACGCCCCTTAAAACTATAGGATCTAGAATAAAATGAAAATAAAAACATATTTTTAAATTATTTTATTAAAATAATAATATAGTGAATTACACTATGAACAAATGTAATATTCATATTTAAGAGCTCCATTAGAGATTTCATTGGAAATCTATAATGAAACTCTTATTATTCATTCCTCTATAAATGAGGCTCACTACGGGCAAATTCCCGATATTATACGCCGCTATATCCCCATCACCCATTTGAACTGACTTCGGTAAAAATACGTTGATCGTGCCAGTTCCCGCGGGGTTGCACAATATGCACGTGACAGCTGTCCCGTACTTTGTCTCCACGTTTTTCATGGTTTTCACAGGATACGACGCATCCTTCACCAACTCCCCGATTGACATCTTCACGTGTTTACTGGGATTAAGCGATTCTAAAAATGCCATTTTTAATAAACTGCAAACAGAAAACCAATTGTTAGATAAAATAATTTGTTTAAACGTGAACGCATAGCGAGAATAGTTATTTTTATTATTAAAGTAAAAATTAACTCACTTTGATTTTAGAAGAAATTGAATAAGTTAGAAAATTTGATGCTGGCACTGAGTTGGTGGATATTAATACTGAAATTTTTAAAAATATCGACTGTTAATATTGAATAAAAATGACGTTTGAAACAATTGTATATACAATTATTTAATTGATTAAATTAACTCACTTTTTTAATTAGAAGACGTGTGTGCAGAGTCGTGTGATGATGTCGCCTTGATATAGTTGAATGTGAATAGGTAATGAATTCAGAACTGAAAAATATAACTCCTGTTAATTTCGTATAATATAATATAAATTAATGATATTTTAAACATTATAGACATTACACTAGTGTAATACGACTGCATGTAATAATAATTAAATAAAACTCACTTTATTTGAACGGCGGTGTTTGTGAATATTTGGAACTTGTTGATGGACGATATTGGCTATATGGACGAGAGGACTGTTTTGAGCGGGCGAGAAAATAGGACTGATTTAATATTGAGTGGACAGCGGACAAGTGTCCATCGCCATCGACGGCCACCCCCACCTAAATCGTTCGGCGTGCGCAATATTGTACCGATTGATATACACACATGTGTAAATTACAGTGAAAAAGGGTTGATCCTTGAGCGGATCCTGCGCGTCGTATACCGGAATGTGTCGTCTTGGCCACGTGCATCCGTCCGTCCGTCGAATCGTCCGACCTTCACAGTCTTGACCATGTGTGTCCGCCGGGACGCCGACGCAGGCTGACAGACCCCGTCTATGCCCGTCGCCAGATGTGGCTATTTGAGCGGTCTAAACTCGATATTCGTGCTCATAATATAAGGGTGAAATATAATTCCGTGTAAATTATATTATTCTACAAATTATTTTTAAAAGAATTTTTAAGGAATGCGGAGTTGGCCGTGAGACCGTGCGAACGTAGAACCCAGATGTCAATTATATATATATATATATACATATACATAAATACATACACACACATATATATTTGTGTAATAAAACGCAGCACACGATTATATAATATAATATACATTTATTCCATAAATAATATGTTCAGAAATTAAATTAAATTATATATTATATAGCATATTATTTCACGTATTTTTTTTAAACCATTTCAACAATTTGAAAGCTCGGTTATATGTACACTGTGTATAATTTAAATTCTTATGGTGTAAACAACACGGCTCGTGTTGTTTATTTCCGGCAAAACCAGCCTCGTGTAGTTGATCTAGTCGTGGACAGTCCAAATCTACACCCATCTCGTAAATTTTGACATTGGGAAGGAATCCTTCTATGATCTGTCGCTTTTCCTCGCCTTTCACGTAAATGCATTCGAAATGTAATGAATTCAAAATCCGCGGGATTTCTGTATATTGGACATCACCACAATCCCATGATAGTTGGTGATAGTTGCGAAACAACCACATATTGACGGCTTCGATTTTCGCTGTATTGGGTGTCCGCGAGTGTTTAAAAATCCAGTGTTGACTAGCCAGCCCCTCTAAGTCCACTACCGACATTTCTTTTATCATGTATTTCGAGTTCGGGCCTAGCACACACTGGATATCTAGAATAGCTGACGACATAATTCGCGCGATTGCTATTTCTATATTATAATATATAGATAATTATATATTAAAACGTCTTGCCGGCACTGAGCTTCGATGAATACTGATATCCATCGATTCTATCCTCGAGTATAACTATCCTGGAGTATGCGTTAGCCAAGTTAGTTTTCAAATCTTTGTTATTTTTATTTACAATCTCTATGGACTCGATTAAAGATTCAATTTTATTATTGGTGTCCGAAAAATATTTATCGACCGTCGGTACGAGCGTCGATTCTATTCGCATTATTTTCATTTCAATCACTCGAGCCCCGTCACCAAGCGTCGAGATTTTTTTCTCGTTCGCCGCGGATATATTACTATGTACAGCTAGTTCCTTTGTAAACTGTTCGCCAAATGTAGTAATTTTCGCATCATTTATCTCGATTAAATCGACGTGTAACGCGAGCTCTTTTTCATATTTTTCACCCATATCCGCGATGACTTTATTCAGCCGGCTGGCCGG